TATAAATATAAGAAAAAAAACTTCGCTGTGAATTTGGTCATAAGCTGGAACAGATTGTCCAAGGAAGCTGAGACATTTCCAACCTTGAGATTTCTTAAAATCCAGCCACAGTCCTGAGCAGCCTGCTCGTGTTGACCCTTGCGAGCCACTAGAGTTGGGCTACATCTCCAGGGGTCCCTTACCACCTCAGTGCTTGTGTGACTGTTTTATATAGAGAAATAGTTGAAGGAACTGATGTGCTCATAACCATTTCAGGCACATAATGATCATAACTCAATGAAGAGTGTTAATTATAGTTTAATTTGTTCACTTTGGAATTGAATATGCTGAATTAGACTTCTCTTGAATCATGCGTTATTCCGGTTAGAAAACTGATAAACTTGCTCTTCTGTGCAGACCCAGAAAAGTTTCCCAATTATTATCCCAGACTTAATTTGACTTCTCTCACTATTTTTAACAGCTTCTGTACTTTATTTCTGACCTCAAGTTGCAGTCTTCTATAATAGCCACACTAACAATCTACAGATTTGTTTCTTGAAATAATTCTGAAAACCTGCTTTAGCAGAAAGGCTTAATAACTGGAGTTCCACATCTCAATGTGTTGTTTTTTTTCCTACAGATCTAAAAATGAATGCTTTTTTGTATGTGCAAAGCAGTGAATACTCACACCACTTTTCATTCCCAGAGTGCTTCAAATTTGTTGGCTAATTAATATCCAGAATGTGCTTTGGAGATTGGTGTATTTAATTATCCTTTTTTTTTAATAAACTTTGGGAATTTGGAAGAGTGACACGTGGGACCCAACACAACAAGCCTTTGCTTTTTTGCATCACTGCCCCAGCCCAAATAATAGTTTTCCTGCAAGTTTTATCAGAAAGTATACAAGCAGAAAGAGAAATGAATCAAGATCTCCTGCTCTAGTATCCTGCCTGTTCCCAAACAGGGAAATCGTCTTTCATTCATGAACTTCCTTTTATTCCGTGACACCACCAGCAATTAAATTTGTCTTGGAGATGGGACAAACAGAACTTCGTTAGTCCGTTTCTCTTGAAAGTTGTTGCAAACTGTTTGGCTTTGTTTTCATAAGCTTTGCTCAGCACATCAGCTGAGAATGTGCTGTGGTGAGTGACAATTACATAGAACACGATAAAATTTGTAATGACATTTTGAAACAAGTTAGAACCTGATATTTTGGTGAGATTTCTGTTTTGTGCCTCTTTCCAGAGAGGAAAAAGCAAGGTAAGTGCTCTCCTTTTTTTTGTATTTTTGGAAGGCTGATCAATTGCACTAGAAAGATGGGGAGAGGAAATAATGTTATTTTTCCAAGTATGCCATAGAGAGTAAAAGGAATTGAACTATTTGGCTTCTGCACAGTAGTGTACTTAATTCTCTCATAAGCATCTTTATTAACAAACAGTAGGGCTTCATAGAGTGATCCTTGATGATTATCAGCCTTCTAATCCAGGAGAAGAAGTATTTTACAAGAATACATATAAAAATGTATGGGAGTATTTAAACTGATTTGGTCACTTTTAGGCACTGAAGTGAGTCATCTGAGTCTGCATATTTAAAGAAAATAGAAGTATTCAAATTTGTCTTGTTCTGTCTCTTCAAGAAATCTCATTTGTCTTTGGAAAAGATAACTGGTTGTTTTGTTAAGAGAAAGCAAGTAAGAATTAAGAATTGTTGCTTGTTCATGTCAAACAGCTTAATGCTTGCTGTCTTTGGGCTAGTAAGTTTTGTGAAACATAACCAGCAGTTCCCCCAGTGTTCTACAGCATTGGTACTTTGGTGCTTCCAAAGAAGGGAGCCACCAGAAAGCCTCTTGCACAGTAACTCAGATGCCATGTCTGCATATGTTCATTTGTTCCGTGGCAAGTATATATAGTCTGGACAATTACATTTTGTTTCTTGAGGAAAAAATTAATCTATAAAGGAAAGTCTGTTATGTGAGAAATAGCTCCAGAACTCCTCATGTCTCGCTTTCTGACAAGTTTTTCTTGAATAAATCTGACCTGTCAGTACTGCTTTACTTCAGGTTTGCAGATCTGAAATAGCTACTGATGGGCTTTCTCTTCTGTCTGATTGTTTTGTTTTATTCAAAGATTCTGTTGAAAGCAGAACCATTGTTTGTCTTTAGTCACATGCTGACTAAATAGTGTTGTCAGTAATGTCTGCGTTATTTCTGCAGTCTTCAAGAGATGGGATAGGTACGGTTCAGGTGCTCACTACTGATAAGCAATAGCCAGCAATTTTATTAGTACTGTAGTACTGTAGCTTTTTTTTTTTTTCCAGATTTGTTTGGCAGTAGTTGTATGAACTGTTTCCATTGGAAATTGATGCCTTTCATGGTATTCCAATGCTAATGAAACTTTCTTTATGATGCTTTTTCAGCCGAAGTGACAAAGGCAGAGTAATTGATTCCCAGTTACTTAGTGAGCTCTTCTGTCCTTGTGCACCAGTGTGTGCTGTTACCATCCACAACAGAAGTGAGAGCTCTGGTGGATGTTCACTTGGGTGTCTGCTTTTTTATTCAATGTAAATAACGAAGTATTGCCTGAAACTTAATGAGTTGATTGGTGTTTAGGATGCTTCCTTGAGCACTGAGCTGATGCTAAGTCAGGTAAAGCAGGGATTTTGGCTTGGCTGGCTGGCATTCTGGGCAAGTGCACTGACAGTGAGCTGATGAGATTGACTTTTCTAAAAGGAAGAGTTGGCAGTTTATTTTAATATAAAACTTGCTATTGCTCGTTTTTTTGTTCTTTTTGATAACTTGATTTCATGCAACGAGAATGTCTGCAGGATGTTCCAAAGTCTGTTATTTCGGTTCTATTCAAGCAGGGAAGACTTGAAGTTGCTGTGGGAATATCCAAGTGCTGCCTGTTTCCATTATAGGCTTACGGTAGCCATGCCATGTGTTTGTACAGGTACTGATGTGTAGAAGGGGATATGCTGACAGGCTGATCCTCAACTTTTCTCTCCTTTTTTTTTTTTTTTTTTTTTTAAATACCATTATATAAAGAGAAAGAAGTAAAGAGGAGTTTAATGTCAACAGAACCACTACCAACAGAATATTTATAGTGGGGTTAAGTAAATGATTTTATCAACTTATTTTTGAATGATTGAATCGAGGCTGTAGTCTATTAAATAATTTCAGAAGAGAAATTGGAAGAGAGAACCACCTTCCCAAAAACATAGTGAGAAAATTCTGAGTGCTGCACCTGTTCAAGTGAGTTTAAACCAGCTGGTTCCTTAGAGTAGTTAGGAGATATTTTAATTTTAAATTAAATAGACTCATGAAAATGACAATATAACTCTAAGATTCCAAAATATCCTCTTGTGCCCCAGTTAAGCCTTCTCCCCTTCTCTTTCCTCCTCCCTTGCCCTATCTGCAGTAAACCACCAAATGAGCCTCTTATTCTCCTGACTTGCATTGGAGGTGAAGTTAGCACTGAGGAGCTCTGAAAAGAATGAGTGCAAGTAGTGGAAGAAACTGGGCTAGTGAGCCTTCTGCTTTTAGCTGGGACAACAGCCACATTGTGTGTCCTACAAATGAAACCGTTCAACATAAAATGTTTTTTTATCCCCTCCTTCCAACTATAACTCTATTCCAAAATGTTATTCTCCTCATGATATAGAGCTCTTGTTCTAGCCAAAAAGTGTTTGTTAGTTAGAATTGGGGCAGTTCTCATTGTTGTTCTTTTATTTAAATAGTTTTCTATTTCCCTAACTTCTAGTACTTGCTGTTCATTTTGGTAAGCTATAAAAACAAGCTCTTCCATTGGCTGTCATGTGTGGATTTTTAATTGTGTTCATTTGTGGGGTTGGGTTTTTTTTCCACTTTTGGCTAAATGAAAAAACTGTACATAACCTTTCAGATAAGGTCCCACCAGGGTCAGGTATGATGGCTTTTAATTTTCTCCCTGCCAACACCTCTTGTGCTGTGCCCTCTGTCTCTCTTGTAGCCATGTCGCTTTTTTGTGAGCAAAGGAAAGATTTTACTGGACCCAACCTCAGCAGCATCTGGTGCTATGTAGAGAAGTGCTAGCTGAGCTGCAGGAGAGGGTGCTTAGTACCAGTGTCGTGTTGGGAGTGACTCGAGGAGATGAGAAACTGCATTGAAAGAAACCGTAAGACATGAGAGAGGTATTAGTGGAGGTTCTCGAGGATTGGTTTTGACATTAATCTTATTTTTTGTTTTCACTGTTTACCAAAAAGTAGGACAAAACTAAGAATGTACTAATCAAGTTTGCTAACGGGTTAAATTAGGACTACGTAAGAAGGAGACTGTCATACAGGATTGACCTTGAGTAGGGATGAATTAGAGATGGAAAAGAATTAGCATGTAACTTCACATCATTTAAATACTTCGAGGAACAGTGAGTATTCCTCAGATCTCATTCACTGGGGAAACAAAACCTTCGAGGAAGGCTAAGCTGTACTCTTTAGTCAGGTAACAGCTGTCTGTGAATCTTGTTTAATATACAGGGAGGTCTGATTCTTCCTCCACTGGAGGGAGACAAGGGCTAATGAACAAATGCAAACAAATGTCAGATGTGCAAATTCATGTGTAACAGCTGGAAAGGAGTCTGACTCTTGTGATGTGGAGAACATTGCCATAGATAGGTATGTCTTCAGTTGCATTCTATGAAGTTGAGCAGAACACAAGACAGTGAATGGGGGATGCATGAGGTGTTTGTTTGTATGCTTCCTTTATTTTTTATTATTCAGAGCACGCGTGTTTTTGAGATGATTTGTAACTCATCAGAAGAACTCAGCTGACTGAAATCAAAGCAGTCCCAAGGATGATGATGGGAGCACATCTCAAAAAGCTACTAATATCCTGTCCTGTGCTCCCTGGAAAACTGCAGACAATTTGAATTAAAAATGTTTATTATCTAATTTTACTGTGTCAAGTTATTTAGTTGTTTCAAGTTGTTACAAATTTTGTGCTGTTGCAGTTCAGTTACGAAGACTAATTTTTTTTTCTTTCTCGTTAGAAGAAACTACAGGCAAGAAGACTCCAGTAAAGGCAAGGCACATAGTCATGAATAAAGGAAGACTTCAACAGTAACAGCAAAATCAAAGGTGTGAAGATATTTGTAGAGAAGAATCACTTAATTCTCTGCTCTAAAGTTGATAGAATTGCAGTACTGAAATTCTCCTGTTCAGGAGCCAGGATGCTGTGCAGTAGTGAGACTGACAGACAGAAGCTGCATTGATTACTTTTTAAATGGGGAGGGGGAAAGCAGTTAAAGGAAACTGAGCAGATCAGATGTGTCCTGATACGCTGTTCTTTCCCACACTGTTATTCTGGATGCCATGTCTCTACTGTGGAAAATGCTGTACAATCAATGCTGCTTTTCCAGTTAGCATCCAACATTCACAGAGATCTATTGTGCAGGGATTTCATAGTCTATTTTAAAAAGTAGTATTGGAGGAAACTGCAGCAAATCAAGAAATTTGTATACAGTTTGCAAAACAACTGTTTTGCGTTTGTCAGAACGTTACCATCTGACTGGAAACTCTTCCTTTTTTCTTGTTTATTCTTCAGTTATGTGCCCTCATGGTGGCTCCTTTTAGGCTGGTGTCCTCACTAAGAAATCAGACTTCCCTTGGCTGTACAGCTCCTGGGACTTGCATGAACACTTGGCTGTTTTGGTAAGTCTTGGTGATGCTGTAGCAATCACACTCACAGGATTTAGCACCTTTTGATGCAATTTAGTTCTGGTGATACTTATGCTAGTGTTTCACCTGAAGTCTGCAGTTATTCTACTCCCTCATGAATATGTTAATTATTTCACACTCCTTTAAAAAATTTTTTTGCAGTCACAGAGCTAACTTTGCATCTTGGGGGGTGGTATTTAAATAACTTCATGGAAAATGTATAAGTCTAGGTTTAAAAAAAGGATAGTGAATAAATTCAGTGTGGCACAAATCTGACATCTGCATTGCAAAAAATATTCAGTGCAAGTAAATTATGCATCTTTTTTGTTACGACAGTTCGGAAACCATACTTGCAAATATTACTTTAATTACTATCTTTACTGCACCGTTTCTAAAGAAGTTTTCTACTTAGGAGCTGACTACCTGAAATCTGATACACTAAATATTTCTTTATTTCCTGATGTCAGATGCATCTTTTAGCCGTATTCTAGTTTTCCTCTGTTGATCAAATAGGTACTTTACATGTTGTTTTCATTATGCCCATAAGGACACAGCACAACAATACTATTTTCTCCATGTTTTATATTTTTTCACTTAATTTTCCTTGTGTATGAACTTCCTTGTAGTAAAAACTTTGTCACCCATTTTGTTTGACATGTCATTATTATTTCAGACGATTCCAGGACATGCTATCAGACTAAGTATTATACTAAGATAAAGTTCATTAAATCATTATTTTATGAAATAAAACTTATTAGCACTGAAGGTATGAAGAATTACAAATATTTCTGGTATTTGTAGTTTTTGTTATTTTTCATAAACTATTAGAAATGTCATAAAAAGCTTGACAATAAGAGCCATACAATCTACTTTTCAGCTCAGAGTAGTTGAAAGAAGTCTAGACATGCTTATATTGTTTTGTTCACATCTTTTCCGAAGCCTTTTCCAGTCAAGTGGTGTTTTTTTAGATGTCATCAATGAGTCTGAGCAAGGATTTTTAACTATTCCAGTAGCTTTCTGGGATGTTTTAGGAATGATTTGACCCCAGAAGATTTATGCTGCTCTTACGACCGCTGAATTTCGAAGTTGCATTATCTGTACTGCTAGCCTGAGAAGGGAAAGAGTTATTTTTTTCCATGGATATTAGGGGAGCTGGTGGCTGAGCAACAGTGGTCTTGAGGAGTACTGTCACTTAGCTAGGAATGATTAGGAGGTTGCTTCCAGAACAGGTCTACTGCATTTTAAGCTGATGTTCTGATTTATGTGCATCTGAAATAAATTCTTATTGTCTCTCTGAGAGTACCTGAATAATTCGAGTTCTTGAATCTTTTCATCGGGGCATTGCTGGTTTTGTAGCTGTTTTTATTTAAGTATTTGGATTCTCCTTTCACGAGGAAATGCAGGATGAGGAAACTCTTCCTTTCATGTTTCGAGTTACAACTTTAGTGAGTCTATAGGTAATAGAAGTGAAAATACCGTAATGGAGTCAGACGGGGAGAGCTGAAACTTTAAACTGAATTATTCAACTGCCAGGAGGAAATACTTCTCCGTCTTCTAAAAATCAAGTTTGCCTAAAAACAACAGTCAGAACGCTCTCTGTTTTTGTTCATGGACACAATAACTTTTAACTTGTAGTTGTAAAGTGGATGAAGGTGTATTCAAACATCAACTGCTCCTCTCTGTATGGGTGCAAAGGTACTCAAGGGTTTCGAAGCATCAGAATAATTTATACTGTTATTTTCCATTGCAGTTGATTATGCTTGAGTCTTTAGAAGCCATTAGTCTTAAGACCTGTACTTCAGATGTTGTGGCTAGTGCTTGAATTTGAGGCTTAGGGGAAAGACTTCAGCACCAGAGTTGTGTGTTCACTGCTGTCAGTCCTCAGAAGTCATTTAGGCAGACGTGATGTGAGACTGGGATTGTAGCTTAATTGAAGGGTTGTAACCGAGCCCTCCAGGGAATTGAAAATGTTTTCATTTGGTTGTAAATGTAATGTGGTAACGTTCCTTGGTGAATCGTTTGTGGTTTAATCTCTTGCTAACGAGAGGCAGGGAGAGAAATTGGCACTGTGGCTTCATGATGTGAATCCCTCATGTCTCGTGTTATGAATAGGCTTCTCCTGAGCTCTGTTTTGGGGTATTGCAGACATGGAATGGAAAGGTAAAATATTGATGAGAATTGCTCTGTGAAATTTCTCTTGTCCTGTGTTGGGAGTGAATGCTCTTTTCCCTTCAAGATAGGCGTTGTTTTGAAACCAAACCAAAAGCACAGTAACAAGTGCATTTGGCTTAATTGCAATCAGTAGGTGTATTCTAAAGTGTAATTGACTCCTCTGCATAGATGCTAAGTGGTTCTGTCCTTTATTCCCTAGCATAGGTAAGTCATGAAGGGGGTATTGACCCAAGCCAACAGTCCTTGGCTGCCTGTGGATTGAGGGTTTTTTGATAAGTTCTGAGATGTTGTATACAAATTTTAGTTGAAGTTGTGCTTGATTATAGATTACAGAAACGATATAATCACCTGAAAGTTGAAAATTTCAGTTGTCAAGTAATGTTAAGAACTGTAGTCTTAAACTTGTATGAATAATTTTATATTTGGATACCAGAGACACTGTGTTCAGGACTTGTTCTGTGTATGTCTTGCCTCAGTAACACACCACTTTGCTTTCATTCTTTTGTTGTGGAGTTGAAATTCTCCACAGTGGAGTAGTCGAGAGGGATCTGGATGTTTTGAGTCTCTGTGCTTTACTAAGATGCAGATGTGTGGGCAGATGGGAGCCCAGCCCAGGCACATGCTGAAACAAGCAGTGTGGGCAGCTCTGGTCAGAATTTGCTGTGTTTGCAAGGGAATAAAATGTGGATTGACTTTGGCTAACTCTGCATTCCAAGGGTATGTGGAGGGACTATCTGTGAGCAATTTCATATTCAGCTTTTCTTTGTAATCCTTTACTCTTTCTGAACAGTGGTCACAACTAGAGTACTTACGTAATTTATTTTATCTTCTGTAAACCAGCTAGTTACAGCAAAAGGTGTCTTACTGGGCTAGATGGAAACAATTTTATGTGAGAGATTACAAGATAAATTGGCACAGCCCAACCTAAAGGGATGGTGACTGTTCGTACGGTGACAAAAGTCTTAGTTCATTTTGAGAGCTTCACAGTTCAAGAATCAATTGGATTTGCATATCCCAAAAGTTCAGGAATTGATTTCCTAAATGATGATATTCAAGGCATAATGATCATGTCTGCCTGTTATTATATGATCAAATATATTCCATGGAGGGTGAATTATTTAATCTCTGTGGAAACATGGAATTTTCATGATGCATTAGGATTGTAATGGGCACTTTTTTTTTTTTTTTTTCCAAAGGAATGAAATTGTTCCGTCTTCTAAACAAATGATCTGTGATGCCTTGAAGGCTGCTTGGAGAGGTAGATAATTAGCTACCCCACTGCCTAGAGAAATAGCTTGGAGAATTTTAGAAGTCTCATGCAAATGGTTTGGGATATTATACAAAATTAGTTTCAGTTAGGCTCAAATTTATCTAATTTAATTTAATTATTGGGAAAAGTAAATCTTTGACTGAGGGGGAAGAAAGGAAACCTGACACGAACAGAAGTCAGGGCAAAAAACGACACTGCAATATAGACTGCAACAATTAGATACTGATGGATTTACAGCTGCCATTTACTTTGTAGGCATTCACCTCTAAGGCATCAGTAATGACTTTGTTCTCTAAGACTTCATCTATCAGAATTAATACCCTAGGCCACAGGTGGAATAATTACTAAACTGAATTAAACCCTGTTGCTCATTATATCTGTATTCTATTTTAGCAGACTGTGTACTTAGCTGATAAATCTCCATCCTTCTGGGATTTTGAAGTTCTAGGACGTCCTGCTTGTTCCACTTAAAGTTGCAAGGGGTCTCTGGCAGGGATTGGGTGGTTCTCTGAGGCGGAAACTTGATGGCTGTACCAGGGCTTGGGAGCCTGATTACTTGCCTGTGGGAACTGTGGTGGCTCTTTCATGTTCCTGTGATGTCTCCAGCCGTCTTTTCATTCCAGACCGGGTTGAGGGTGCATCAAATTTCTTCTTAATCCGAGGAAGATGGTTGAGAGATTAGAGGAGCAGGTGGTGCACAGCTGATTGCTGGTGGCTGTTAGCTGCCTCTTCAGTATGCAGAGCTCAGGCAGAGAGCAAAAAGGAAAAGGAAATATATTGGAAGTGGCTCAGGCTTTTACAGCGTGGCCTGTGGTTTAGTGGCTGAAATGAGACCAGAGAAGCTGGGACATGGCAGTTGTGTTGCCTGAGGTAGGTAGGCAGACTACTAAGGTAGGCTGGTGTGAGTCTCTCCTGTTTGAGGGACATAAGTTAATGCTGTTACATGGAGGTTGAAAAGATATACGTAGTATGTCAGGGTAGAGTGGATGGGTCAGTGATGTCAATAAAGAAAGAGGGAAGGGTAGATTCGTGCTAGGATGATGGTCAGGGGGCTATAACGGATAAATCTCTGCCGAGACCGGTAGAGCTGGGAAGTTTTAGACACACACTCTTCATTAGTTGAACTGTAGCAACTTCAGTGAACTTTTGTTTTGTTTCATCACATGTGATGGTTCTGTAGGATATTTTAACAACGTCAGATGTGATGTGACCATTGTAAGAGCAAATTCACTGAGCAGTCTAAATATGTTTCTGAAAAAGCTTTCTCAGCAAGCGTTTGCCTCACTTGCTGCTTTTGGAACATGTCCTGAAATTTTCATCTAGCGTGTTGTCTTGTGAGCACTTTTGTTCTTAAGCAGTATTTTGGTGCCAACTTGAATAATATAATTAAGAGTTTAATTACAATAAAAGCATTTTATTTTATGGCAAGTGACTATTTTAACAGTGATGCTTTCTCCATATGCTTATCAGTAGAGGAACCGGATTACTTTACAGGATAAACACAGTTTCAAAGAGACTCAAACCAGAACCTCATTGAAATTGTTCAAGTGGC